TATTTTTAAATATATACGATCTTTTATATCTCTATTCTGTCGTGAACAATACAATCGCTTATTACATATTGGTAGAAATACCTTGAAGAATAGAAGCTCTTATCGCTCTTTTAATGAGGTTAACGTTTTCTGCTTTAGAACTATTATAAGCAGATCAAATTTTTGATCTAAAGTCTTTGCCTAATTTCGATTTCTTGGTTTACTCATATCCAGATATAGTGATATCACGATCAAGCACTTTTACTGGAGACCCTGTTCCCTCTGTCTGTCTTGTTAATAGTTCTTTAAGACTGAGCTGAGGTTGACCGAGACTTGGACGACGATAAATGTCAAAAAAGTATACAAATTGCTCTAATGTTCTGAGTTTTTCAAATCAGTATTGAAAGCATATTAATAATGCGCTAATTAATTGACTTTTGATTCTTGTGCAAACCTTACTTAGCTTTTCAACAGCAAAACGATACCCTGATTTGTATCCTCTTTTTATACAGACTGTTTGTACGTTGTTAGACAAATGATTATGTCTATAAATCTACTTTTATAATTTCATTCATTAAGTTCAATTTGTCTTTATTCAAGGAATTACAAGGACTTATTATTTTGTTATTGATATGTAGACTCTGCATGTTGAGTTCGTTGAGTGCAAAATTTTTGGAACCAAACTAGGTTGATTAAATTTTTTGGGCTCGAATTATACGCATAGTTTCACTATAGATTTTCAGTCTAAGTTTTATAGTCGTTTGGAATTCGGCTACTAACACGTTCTACATATTTTTCAGGCAATCTTGATGATGATCTTATAATAACTAAGTCATACTTGGGTGTAACTTTAAAGTATGGCCTGTTGAGTTGGTTCTATATGTATCGGTTTTTTGAGATCGACGAGAAATGAGCTTCTCTAGGTATAAATTTTTCACAGGTAATGTAAGTCTATTGATTTAAAGTGTCGATGATGTTTCTGGACGATAGGATTTAAAAAACTCTTAAATCTGATCGGGACGTAAATATATATAAACTAAATCTAAATAGAATCTATATGAAATTTCTAATTCTTTAAATTTTTTTATCTATTTGAAGCTTTAATTCATCTACTATCTCAAAAGAAGTTATTCAATATATTAAGTTGACGAATAAAAGGATGTTGGATTTTTCTCTCAAAAAATATATAATAGAATAGAATAGAAATGAGAAGATTCTCTATAGTTTCGACTTATTAAAAATCTTTCCTTTTAATCTTTTATTGTCGTATTTTTTGTTTTAGCGTCTCTTCATTGTTATCTCTGTTGATACATATTGACTGATAAATGAGATTTATTTTGTTTCTACGTAAATCTGTAAGTGTGTCTTCTTTTCTTCGTACAATGTTGGAAACAATATCTATTTGCACCGAACAAATTTTGTTGATGCTTTCCAACGTAGTTAAAAGGAGAAAGAAAAAGACAGTGTGCATCACAAGACTTTATATGCTCTATGTTTTAACTGTTGCATATTTCATCGTGCTGTTTGCACTTGAAGAATGAGAATATAAAACAAAAATAGAATATTATGTAACTATTGACACAAAAGCAATGCTGTTTTGCTCTTTTGAACATCTTAACAATATGTTCGAGAAAAAAAGTAAATTTTATGAAATGTAAAACAAAACACAATCCTTTTATTCTCTGTTGACTCTTGAATAAATAATATTTGTATTAATTATTTTTCATTTACAACATAAAAACAAGTAAGTGTGATGAAAAGGAATGTATTGCATCATAGAATTTTATTTTGAAAATAAATCAAACAAATCATTGTTATAACATCAAAATTAAGTAATGCTCAACAAAATGAGGGGTGAATTGAAAAATGTTCTTTAGCTGATTACAAAATCACAGATATAATATCTAAGAGAGAAACCATGAGACCATCAAGTATACAGGATCTTCAATACAAAAAAGACAGATTTTTTCTTTTTTTGTACATTTTAATGCATAGGTGTCTAAAACTATCAACTCCAAAACTCTTCTTTTTTTTGAAAATTTAGACAATCCTGACTTTTATTCACCATCATATCCCTATGACGAAAAAGCCTGTAAAAGATATTTTAAATTTTTCTGTCAACGAATCATTCAAATTTTTTATAAATTATACTAAAATATAGCGGATTAAAAACTCAACAAAATGAACTATTTTAAAATAATATAAGATCGACTGACTTCAGTTTTATAAGGTGAACCTGAATGAAACATGTTTTTCTTTTATCAGTTTAAGATGTTCACTTTAGAACAATCTATGACCTATGGAGATTTAGAACCAGATATCTCCAAGTTGAATTTTATATGTGCTATGCAATATTTTATTCTCTACACAATGGTCTTTTCGGGGTGAGATAAGGTTCCTATTTCTTTTCTTTCTATTTGTTTTTGATGATTTTTAAATAGAAGATGAAACATTTTTAGCGATTTCCATCACGATGACACAACTGTAAAACAAAATAAATGTGACATTAAGAATCAGCGTCAAAAACTACATTGAATCAAACACATTTTAAGAGACATTTTTTCCTGTGAAAAAATCACCTGTCACCTTCACGGCTATATGTTATTAAATTATTGTCCCGTGATTCATCAAAGATCAGTTTTTCGCAGGAAAAAATCTCTCTAGTCGAATGTAGTTTAGGTTTGACATGAAGCCAAAAAGCTCTAGAACAATTCGAACCTTTTTGAACTTGATATTTGAGAATGAAGATTATGTAAGATTAATTTTTGCTTTTTTTTTTGAAAGTTTTTTAAGCAACTTTTGACAAAAAAAATCTTAGTGTATTTGAATCAAAATTTCCTCCGATTGTTGATGACACAATGATAGATTTCTGTTTGTTACTTAGAAATATTTTTATTTTCCATCTTCTTTGAATTATGACTGACAAGCCTGTGTGGAGACCGAATCAAAAGAAACCTTGTAATCTATTCAAGGATACGAAAAAGTACCCTTTGTGTCTCTTGAAGAAGCCGTCAAGCCTCCTGTTTCTCTTGTGCCTAATGTCGAGAGTATGGTTTAAAGAGTGAAAGGCTATTGTCATTCACCAAAAGACGGATTGACACTAGATGAATCAGCTTCAATCTTCCTTCATTCATTGGAATGGTATTCAAAAGATCAATCTTTCTACTTTATTCTCAACACTACTTTACTAAGTCTTGGTTCTTTTATCTTCAACTGATTATGAGTGCACTAGCTAAACTTCCATCTGAATCAAAACGTTTTCATGTATATCATTGTGTAAATTTGGATCTAAGTGATGAATTTAAAACAGTAAACACCATTGTATGGTGGACTTTTTCATTGTGTACAACATCTCTTAATACTCTCAATAATGAACAATATTTCAGTAAAAAAAAAGGAAAAAAGCATTATTTACTATCAATTGTTATTCTGGCAAAAAAATTCGAAATCATACATTTTACCCAAATGAGGAAGAAGTATTACTTCTTTGTGCTTGTCAATTCAAAATTATGGGTTGTCTAGGTGAAGGCACTGACGTTTTTGTGGTTTAACTAGAAGAAATTCAACCAAAATATCCTCTGATTCATCCTATTGAACCATCTAAAAATATTGTACCACATGTAATATTATATGCACCAGTACCTATTGCAAGAACAATGGTATCCAAATCACAGGACAAAAGATTACAAACTCTCTTACCAGTACAGTGTCCTCTCGCTGCATTAGCTAAACCAGTATTACAGTCTATCGCACCTTTAAATAAACCTATTCAACTTCATGAAATATCAACAAAGAAGAAAATATTACTAGAGTCCATAAAATTCCGAAATAATCTATTACAAGAGGTCACCAAATTGTCTATAAAACCAGCACCACAACTAACTGAATTATTAGCTGCACCTACACAAAAACATGTTGCAGATCAAGCTAAGGGAACATAACCTTTAGCTATACGAACGGATCAACCGACTACAAAACCTCCCTACCGTAACAACAAACTATTGGAACAAAAGAAAACGTTACAAATCGATCTAGTAAATATCGAACACTACATATTAATAACCATTGTATTAACACAGTTTATCAGACTTTATTAATCTATTTATATGTTTTTTTCATAAACTTAAATACTTAAATTGATAACATACTAATTCCTTGCTTTCAATGCTTGTTTTTTCGAAGCATCTATTTTCATTCCTTCCTTATATTCTTGATATTTTTTTTCTAACAGGACTGAATCAATCTTGATCTGCGAAACAGATTAATTGGCGACGAAGAAACAAAAGATATCGCCAGTAAATTAAAAAACAATCAAGTAAATATCGATGTGTCATTGTCTTCTTATTTTATCATTTTTTCATTGTTTCATATAGCCGCTTGAAACACTCAATCTTTGGTATAATCAAATTAAAGATGAAGGCGCACAATATTTGGGTGACTCTCTAAAATTTAATAATGTAGAAATTCTTGTCTTTTCTTCTTTTGCCTTAACATGCATATCTTATCATTTCATATAGACACTGACTACATTAAGTCTCTCTTACAATGAAATTGACTATCAAGGAGCAGTATGTATTTATAGCTGATAGTTTACAATTTAATACAGTAATCTGTTTTCTTACATATATATATTATACCATACAGACACTAACCGAACTACATATTTCTTACAATAGAATCGGTGATCAAGGAGCACAACATCTAGCTAATGCATTACGAAATAATATGGTAATTAATTTGCTCTCTTCAGTGCTTCCTTAGTTCAGCATTTTTTATTATTCCATAGAGTCTTACTACACGAAATCTATACAGCAATTCAATCAGCTCACTAGAAGCACAATATTTAGCTAGTGCACTTCAAGACAACAAAGTATTCGTCTTTTTCTTCTTCGTTATCTTATTTTAACACTTTTCCATAATTTTCATAGGGACTTACTGTACTCAATCTAGGAGACAACAAAATCGGGAAAATAGGAGCAGAACATTTAGCTCATGCATTGAGATTGAATGCAGTAAGTATTTTTGTTTTTTTCTGATTCGATCATCGACGTTTCATTTCGTACAGACACTTACTACACTTAATTTAAACAATAATCAGATTGATGACATAGGAGCACAACATTTAATCTGTACATTGAAAAGTTTTCACGTAAACTATTTTTGTTTTATTCTTCTCGTTTTACTACTTCATATGGTCTTTTATAGACATTGACCAACCTATACTTTTGCAACAATAAAATTAGCTTCGAGACAACAAAACTCTTCGAAACATGAAAGAAAACCAACTTGCGATTGAAAGTATTTCTTTAATTATTATGGCAAGAAATAATGATCACATATGATAATGTCATTACTAATTATCTGACAGATGAACTAATTAGTTGGTTACTTTTGATACTTCTACTATTTTTATACGAAATTAATTTAATAAGACAAGCTTTTTTTTTCCAATGACCTTTTTTGATCATATAACTACAAACAATGATTATAATAATAGTATAATCGATGTATTTTCTTTGTTCATAAATCTGTATATTCATTTATTAGCTAGACAACGTAAAATAGTGAACAAAAGCTTCTGGCCAAGAGGATCTCAACCATTATAAATGCTAGAGGCTTGAATATTGTTTGTGTAAATATTTGTCAAAAATGTGGATTTAGAGATACAATTCTGTTTCGATGACTTCAGTATAAAGAAAATTACGACAAATAACACCTTTTTTTTTGCATTAAGCTTCTTAATTTGAATAGGAGCTGTCTAGTCAATTGTGCACTACTTTTTACTAAATACATAATTACTTCTTGATGTTTTTGAATATAACTGAAGTTTAGGCTATGACCGTTCTTTACTCAAAAGATGATTTTATTTGCTTGAATATTGACGTCTGTAGATCTTTCTAAATTCTTCGCCTCATTAACACAATGGTTATAGTTGCACCAATTTTGATCAGTGCATACGTAGTCTGTTTATGGAACTTGTCGATACTAATATCCAACTGTAGAGATAGCTTTTTCTAAGCGTTTAAGCTTTACTCGCTAAATTAGTACTGCATTCTCGTCTCAAAAAGACGCTAGATAATTTTTATTCACATCAACAGTCATAGTAACATAGTCAGAGTGCTAGAGAGGGTATATAAACTTCAATGAAATTAATGGAGTGGATACCTACGGTCCAACGCTGCATAATCAGCCTTTATCTATCTGATCTATACAGCTCATTTTTTTTTAAAGTTATAATATTCAATTGCGATATATGTACCATCCGTTGTCATCTATCACATTTCCATTTCTACTTGAGCAATTGGAGCAGAGTAATGTGTCTACCCACGTTCTTGACGAAACATGTGTATACAAATTTTCAGAGCTCTAGCATTGAGAATGACTGAGATCGTTTACGGCGGAGACCTTGGTTCACTACTGTAATTTAATTTGTTACTTTAATAATAGCAAGTCAAAATCGCTCACAAAACATAGAGAATCTCAGTTGAAAACATTTAGCATTGTTCAATCCATTGTATACAATCAACTGTCATAAAAAAGTTAGACACTTTGAAGAACAATGAATTTGTTAAAATTCCTTTGTTTATATAAACATTATTTCTAATGTTGTGTATATCAATCATTGTATGAATAAATCATATAGAAATAACAGGTATAAGTATGGAAATTGATTGAAAAAACATGTAGAGTTCAAGAATTACTTAACATTCTTCAAAGAACAAAGATATTTCGTAGAAGCGAAGGTATGATATTTTATTTATACATATTCAAGCCTATGAATGACATCGTTTTTTTCAAAAGCTAAACGAAATTGTAACAAGGCATAAAACAAATAAAGAAAGTCAACACGAGGCTTGCAACGTTGTGTTTCATAAATTAATATTTGCGAACGTCGACAAGATTTTTCAGTAGAACATACATATATTCCTTTCAGCATGTCAAATAATATTGAGAATATGCTATTTTAGATAACATTTTCGAACTACATATCGATGCTGACATTTAGCTCAATTAATCATATGTATTTGTTGATCGTCGGATAGGAAAAGTATCCGCATTGCTTCTCGTAAGGAGAAATGTGAGATTAACAGAGATTACGAGCGACAGTTTTTTCGTTATTACCATTATTCCAATAATAGAATTTACATTTGACGACATTCATAAATTTCTTAACTTAAGATAATCGAGTGAATATGTATTCAAAATATAAAAATATGTGATTCGATTGTTTTCTAGAGAGAAAGAAAAATAGAATACTTTTTATGACGAAATATTTCAATTGATGCAGAACAGTTATTAAATAGTTTAAATTTTCTTTGTATTCGTTGATTATCTTATGATGTTTTCTGAAGAGAAGCACGAGATTAGAAGAAGACTTTTTTTTTCATTACGATTATTTGTCTTTGAAAAAATAAAAACATATTGACAGATAACAATATTACCATCAGTGATGTGTTATTTTACTGTTAATTCTTTATTATTCAAGACCAATCTTGCCTGTTCATTTATTTATATTTGTGTACTTGCACTCATTGTTAACAATACAAATATATATTAAATGACTGTTTTAATCAAACAATAATGAATAGAGTCGCATTCAATGTAGATGTGAAATGGATTAGTCTAATTTTTTTAAAACATCAAACCAGTATATAATAAAGAAATGCATTCGATGATAATCAGAAACTTGTTCTTTGGTATGAAAATATGATAAACTGAATAATTTATACTATCATTAATTTATAAAAATAATCAAATGACGACTCTTATGCATGATTTAATCAATTATCACATCAAAATGTTATCGTAGATATTTTATAACTCTGAATGACCGTCATACTCTGCTAACTTTTGTAAAATTAATTTTTCTAGTTTCAAAAGAGTTATTTTTATTTGTTAAATCAGTTTTTAGAAGTTTTAATGATAAAATATCATTAAATTCAAGATAAAATTAAAACAAAATTGAATCTTTAATTTAGGAGTTCTTGTAGAAGAAATTTTCACGCATTACTTACATTAAAAAAATAAAAATTTGAAATTAACATCTATTCATTCTTTATTTGAAACACGACATTTATAGTTAATAATAATAGATGCAATTTAATCTATTTCTATACTCAACAACACTTAAATTTCAAAATCAAATAAATGAGACATGCTTTTATTGTTAAATAGTGTCATTTAGAAAGTCGAACGATGAGAAAAATATCTAAAAAAAAAAAGCAAAGAGAAAAAGAAAAGAAAAAGAACTAGACTAGAAAACATCATAATGTGTGGAAGATTCAATGTGTTCCCAAATTAGAAAAGAGAAAAAAAGCAAAGAATATTCCTTCTCTTTTTTTCTTTGTTGAATTAATATAAAAAAGCAAAGCAAACTCTATAACATACAATCAATATTAACAATAAGCATAAAATGCAACGTCATGACCAAGTTATTCAACTTTCAGATCATATTAAAAATAAACTTAAACAATACCAGTATCCAACAGAATCATCATCATTAATTAATTCATCTAATGAATATAAAGAAACTAACGATACTAGCAATGACAATGGTATCTAACACTCTTTTTTTAGTTTTTTCCTATATTGACTAGAGATATGCAGGGGAGACTTTTTCGTACCCTGTACATTGAATGAATAAGATTTTCTTTACCTTACTATATCTTACTCTAGAAAATGTTTACCATACTCTCTTCTGTATATCTCTAATATTGATGAAGAAATAATGTTTATGTTTTGTTTTATTCAAATTAGATTCATTACATTTCACATCATCTGAAAATGTAACTCGTCCACGTCATGATACATTTACTACTTATCAAGTTACACAACCATCTGAATTATTTTTTACTGAAGAAAAATCGAATCAAATTACAAATGTTTCTGTTCTTCAAGACGAATATAAAAAACAACACGAATGTCAAGAATGTATTCGTCGTAATCATATAATTCATATTGAGCGTCAAAAATGTTTACGTCTTTATGAAGAAAATAAAAAATTAAATGAACAACTTCGTTCATCTATTCTACGAAATAATCAATATGAAAAAGATATTCAAAAATTAAAATATCATTTAACAACAATGAATTCTCATCTTGATGAATATCAAATTAATTTTGATCAGCTCAAACAAAAAATTGTATCTGAGAAGAAAACAACTT